GCTAATTCTTACTCCAGATTTGAATGGTACAAAGTCAAGATTGACCTAGTGTGGCCGTGGGCTTTGATTTAAATATGGCCACTTGTGACACCGTCGATGGACTGCTTTTCCGGGCCTGGACAGCTGCTTGGTTTTTAATACCAACTGCTCACAGGCGTGCAAAGTATGCCGCGTCAGCCCCACTGGTCACGAGTGAGCCACAGGCCGGCACCATCGGAGGCAGCCGAGGGCCACATATGTGCCAACGACCATGTTTACCCCTCCACCGACCCGTCACAGCCATCGACCGCGTGCCTTGCAGTCTGCAGGATCGCGCACCGGCCGTGCTTGCCCACGTCTGGCGGAGAACGCGCGCTCAAGCACGGAAGGCACGTTGGCTCCTGCTTGCGACGGTCCCCAAGCGGACCACGCGGGCCGATGATACGATGACGGCTGGGTGTGGACGTGCTGAAGACGTGCTGGACGTGAACGTTCTGAAGACCCGGGCGTGCGGCCGCCTTCGGCGCGTCTGACCATCGGCTCCGGTCGATACTCTGTACGCTCCCCCCCCTCCCCCACGTACCCCGCCCCTCCGGCCGCGGCGGCTCTGCAGTCCATTTGACGGACCGCTGGGTTCACCGGGGCCGGACCACATGTTGCGTCGCACTGGCCGCGGCGGCACAGCGGGCACGGCACTAAACGACACAGCAGAGCACAGCAGAGCATAGCGCAGCACAGCACAGCACCGCACGACAAGGAAAACGGCATGAAACGGCACGGCGCAGTACAGCCCAGCACAGTCACAGCACAGCACAGCACAACAGAGAAAACAGGGCATGGAACGGCACGGCACAGCACAGCACAGCACAGCACAGCACAGCACAGCACAGCAGGGAAAGACATGGTTCGGCACGGCACGGCAGCGAACGACTGGGTATGACACGGCTTGGAATTTCAGAATGCAATACGACGGGGAAAACGACGGGTCCTGTGTGGTTTCCCTCGGTCGTCTGTGTTTTCAGGCGGATGGCGATAGGGCGTCAGCTCGCAGCCTCCATACATCTGTTTTTTTTTATTATTTCGGGCCGGATGACTGTGGGTGCTCCCATGGTCGTAACGCCGAATAGCTCCGTGCTCCCACCCCCCCCCCCCCCCCCCGCTGGATGGGATTCTGGTCAAAAGGCTGCTAACGCTTCATTGAATGTTTTGTGGTGCTGGTTCCTCCCTTACCACAGAGCCAGCCAAGGCGCGGTGGCATAGCTGGATGATGCAGTGCGGCAGGTGCGGCAGCATGGCTTGAAAATGTGGTTTGGCAGGTGTGACAGCATGGCTGGGTAATGCAGTGCAGCAGGCGAGGTAGCATGGCTGGATATTGCAGTGCGGCAGGTGCGGCAGCATGGTTGGAAAATGTGGTGCGGCAGGTGCGGCAGCACGACAGGATGGCAGTAGCAGCATGGTGGTAGGGCAGGTGTGGCAGCGGCTACATCAGCGCCCAGAAATTGCCATATTGTGGGCTATTCAATATCGAAAGAGGGTAGACCGGGCAGCCTCGCTACACCAACTTTTCTCAGTATCTTCCACACATGCGTAACGGGGAACTGCTCCCGTGCAGGTGGGAGGAGAAGGAGTTGACACGATGTGGGAAGAGAAGTTTGCAGTTGGGTCGGAGGCGCAATTGGCAGGGGCTACGTTTGCATTACAGCCAACCGGAAAGCGATCGCGTCGTCGCGGAAGAAGATTGCCGCCCATAGCGGTTCGCGCGGGGTTTGCGCGAAGTTGTTTGTTGTTGTTTTGCGCTTGGGGCCGTGCTATTGCTGTCGCGAGCTCCACCGTAATGCGGTGCATGAGACCACTGACGTCAGCACCCTCCAAATGATAATCTCTGACATTGCCATACATCCCAGGGAACAGGGTTGTTACCCAATCCTTGCGTGACGACACTTTTCGCATGGCTTGGCTCATTGGCTGTTTCCTAGAGACTCAATACTCACGTGAACAGCTGAAGCAACATGCCATACCACTATCTAAGCAATGCAATGGAATCTACGGAATTTCTGCTCTTGCTGTGGTGTGTCACGTTAGGATATCCACCGTGATCGCTTACATTCCGGAACAAACCGCCAACGCATCGCCAGGACTGGCCGTTAATCTCACCGAGCCGTCATATCCATGACAGCCGGCGGAACTCTGTCACTCAATCGCGACTAAATGGATCCGCGAGACGCCGATGGAGCCGTCACGGACGGCCATCTCCGCCCAAGTTTTCCGAGTTGTGCTATCAGAAGCGCCTTCGGCGGCGCGTGGCTCCAAATTGAATGCAGTATTTGATGGCGCTGCGTCTCGCCGCCATCAGCCAGGTGCTCGAAGACCGGGCTGCGACAGATGTGCCCAGCCAAAATCAGCCAATAATCTGCGATGGGATGTGAGGGCATGCAGATAAACCCACCCCCTTGGCCACCTGGATAGAATCTCATCGAGGCGATTGATATATGATGCGAAAATTGCGGGACTTGAGTGCATCACAACTTAAAGGCGTGCATGCAAATCAAAAGGAATGTTTTTTTTCCATTTCAATGTATCTAGGCACCAGATATGATTAAACAAGTTCACTTGTAACTATCGATATGTATTTTTAAGTGGAAAAGACTGCTGTAGACAGCACAATGTTCTGTTCAGTAAAAACGTTCATCAGTTCGCTATGGTGTGATTTCATCACCGTACTTTGCACAAAATTAAGAGCCAATTGGCGGTCGTTCTGTCTGGAAATCGTGCTCAGGAACGCCCGATATGAACGCGCTGGCAGTTATATTTTTCTTGGTTTTGGACACAACATGGTTTATTGAATAACAACATTTAATAAATGACGTTATTTTGACGTTATGTATACAAGACGATTTTGAAGTGGTCTCCGCGATATACCTTCCTCCAGTTTCATTTAGTCCAGAAACTAGACATGCTTAGGTCTTAAGAAGGCCAGGGTTGCGAACAGCACCGAAATGTTTTCAAGACGGCTATTTCAGTTCAAAACCCCATATAAATGCGAAACACTCCCTTTAAAGGAATCCAGCGCCCTTGTCACCAAACCACGATACAAGGCATATTGGCATCGGAGTGGCTCTGGCCACGTCGAGCGGTAAAAAAATGGCGAAAATAAACCCAAGACCATTGACGTGCAGCGCCCACTAATTCGGGTGCACTGCTGCGTATGATTTCAGTTCAGATGCGCTGAAGATTCGACGACATCTGGACACTAATGTATACACGGTTCCTACATTTGTTCTACGACGCTTTAATCGAACAAAAATAGCAGCAGGCAGTCGGTGGAGTTCTGTATGCGGCCAGATGCCTGAATCGACCGTTTGGACGGAGAGGCGAGAGAGAGAGAGAGAGAGAGAGAGAGAGAGAGAGAGAGAGAGAGAGAGAGAGAGAGAGAGAGAGAGAGAGAGAGAGAGAGAGAGAGAGAGAGAGAGAGAGAGAGAGAGAGAGAGAGAGAGAGAGAGAGAGAGAGAGAGAGAGAGAGAGAGAGGAGAGAGAGAGAGAGAGAGAGAGAGAGAGAGAGAGAGAGAGAGAGAGAGAGAGAGAGAGAGAGAGAGAGAGAGAGAGAGAGAGAGAGAGGAGAGAGAGAGAGAGAGAGAGAAGAGAGAGAGAGAGAGAGAGAGAGAGAGAGAGAGAGAGAGAGAGAGAGAGAGAGAGAGAGAGGAGAGAGAGAGAGAGAGAGAGAGAGAGAGAGAGAGAGAGAGAGAGAGAGAGAGAGAGAGAGAGAGAGAGAGAGAGAGAGAGAGAGAGAGAGAGAGAGAGAGAGAGAGAGAGAGAGAGAGAGAGAGAGAGAGAGAGAGAGAGAGAGAGAGAGAGAGAGAGAGAGAGAGAGAGAGAGAGAGAGAGAGAGAGAGAGAGAGAGAGAGAGAGAGAGAGAGAGAGAGAGAGAGAGAGAGAGAGAGAGAGAGAGAGAAGAGAGAGAGAGAGAGAGAGAGAGAGAGTATTGATGTGATAATAACAACGTTGGAATCGTTCAGAGCTGTTCTAATAGACGTCCGACGTATCTGCACTCACGTAGCATCTGTAACTCACATTACCTTGCACATTGTGCGATAGCGCTACAGTTTTGAGGGTCGTCACAAACAGTGCAAGAGTTGCAGTCATTACGTTGTTTTGCGCGAACCGTAAGTTAAAACCCGGTCATAAGGAAAACAACAACATTTCTTTGTGCCAGGACATTGGCGTTGAAACAAGCATTGTGATGGTTCCAATTCGCTTCAATGGAGATAGTCTGCTGATACCAGCTGACCTCATTGCAGGTCAGTGCATTGTGGTAAAAACTGAATGGGCTTCTACATTTGTATGTACTGAAAGATAACAGGACCTGACGAAACCTTGTTTGTTTAAAGAATTGTCCAACATTCAAATGTTGTATACTGCTCTGCTATTGCAATTTTCATCTAAGTAAATAGATATTATTAGTTCATCGTTTGATTGTGTCATAAAGCATCATGACTGCATCTTCCGACGGACCGTCATTCAGGCGAGAGAACCACAAGACGCCGTCAGCAGCGAAGTGCGAACATGACCTAAGCACATGGCGTCCTCGGGACACCGCCTGATTTTGGCACAATCGCGAACAAATTAAGCGCCCGTCATTTCTTTTCTAAGAACACAGCGTAGCCAATGGGGTGTTGTGTTTTACGTGATTTTTCATGCCTGAATATATATTTTGGATGAATAATGGCATGTGCTGAATAAACATGGGATGCGCGAGTAAAACTGGACAAAGCTAGGGAAAAAGTTTAGCTCTTGAAAATGATATGGACGTGGATATAAGGACCAGATCTAAACGGTAGCTGTCTTAATTGAAAACTAAATACAAAAAGATGAGACACTCTCTTCAACCGGCCTGAACCTATGAACGTCCCAATGAGAATGGGAAATGTTAATAGGAGGTGGCATATGGCTCATATCACGTGCACCACTTATGACTTGCTGAGCGTACACAAAACACGCATAACATAGTCAGCGAACGATAGCGGGCAGCCATCTGGGCAGTGACGAACATCGGCTTGTTTAGACTTGCGAACTCGATTCCTAACTTAACTGCACGCATGGCTTTATTCCTCGCCTGAAGCCCCTGACGCGTTACCGTTGCTTGTTTTCTACACGCATGATAGCAAGACGTGACTGAGTCGTCCACCAGAAATAGTGACGATATCCTACAGGCTACATTTTCTCATCGTTCCTTAATACGGGTCAGTGCCTAATGCTCTAACATGTTCAGGCAACTCGTGAACTAAGATGCGCGTTGTTTTACATCCGCCCGCGTTTTGGTGAGAAGTATGAATGCAGCTGGTGGCAATTCGTCCAAAGAAACCTTTGTTATCTTTGAGAGTGATCCGGTCTGATATGATCAAGTAGGTATGTATTGTTTTGCGACGTTTTGTATTAAGCGTGCGTTTGTGACTCTATGGAAAGCAGTTTACTGCATATTGGTATGTCAAGGCTGCAAAACGCCGCGAAGCTATTTTAATCACATTCACTCTACACATCATGCATGCTGTTTATTAGTATCTGCACCCTGTTGAGCTTGGAAACATGTCTGAGCAATGTCACATAGCGCTGAACCCATAGTTTCAACATACGCCATTTCTTTTTTCACTGAAATACAGCGGGGAAAACGGAGGAAATCATAAAGCCTGTGGCAATCTTAATGCTTATGTTTTTAATACCAACCATCTCATTCTGTGTCCCACATTAAGGAAGCGCGGAGCTGTGAGAAATATGGTATAGGCCTGCTCGCTCACATGCTAGAATAATTTTGCTCCAGCGTTGTCGTGATTGTCCGACGTGAGTGTGGGTTTCCTCTCGTTGAGTGATGGGATCGGTGTTGTACAAATGCAACGCTAGGTCAGTGCTAACTCGATATAAGCGTCGTGCTTTTACACGGCGTTCATGACATCACGTGATATATCTGCCAGTATTTTACACTGGCGTAAAACTAGCACATTTGATTGAACAGCTCTTGCTGTGTTCCTTAAGCTTTTAGCGATATATGGTTGCGCAATATTCCCGCTGTCTGCGCTGCGTTCCGATCCCATCTCGGTTGTCATGTGGTGCCAAATGTAGTTTGCTGACGGCCATGTGTCATATAAATGTGGTTATTCTTAGGAAGCAAGCACCTTCCACACCGCATCAATGTCGCTCATAGGGTTGTGACACATAGTTTGGCCCCGGCGGCAAGTTCACAGCAAGTCTACGAAATGCACGGGACAATCGATGCATTGCATGCTGTAATAGTTTGAAGCCAGTTTCCAAACCTGTGCCAAAATGGCCCTGTCGTGAAATGGCACACCGCAGCCTTGGCAGTCGTCGAGTAATTCCGCGCAGTTCCTTTATGATTTCATGATTTAAAACTGCTTCGACCGACACGACGCGGCGCTTGGAGCGAAGAGCACGGAAACTGCTCGCGGCTCTGCACTCAGCACGGGCATTGGCTCCGGCTCTGCACTCTCCTATAACAGAGCGCGGATGCTGGCTCCGGCTCTGTACTCAGCGTCGGTATTGGCTCTGGCTCTGCACTCTCCTGTAACAGAGCGCGGATACTGGCTCCGGCTCTGTACTCAGCGTCGGCATTGGCTCCGGCTCTGCACTCTCTCCTAACAGAGCGCGGATACTGGCTCCGGCTCTGTACTCAGCGTCGGTATTGGCTCCGGCTCTGCACTCTCCTGTCACAGAGCGCGGGCATTGGCTCCGGCTCTGTGCGCTTTTCTAACAGAGCGCGGATACTGGCTCCGGGTCTGTACTCAGCGTCAGTATTGGCTCCGGCTCTGCACTCTCCCCTAAAAGGGCGCGGATACTGACTCCGGCTCTGTACTCAGCGTCGGTTTCGGCTCCGGCTCTGCACTCTTCTGCCACAGAGCGCGGGTATTGGCTCCGGCTCTGTACTCAGCGTCGGTATTGGCTCCGGCTCTGCACTCTCCCCTAACAGAGCGCGGATACTGGCTCCGGCTCTGTACTCAGCGCGGGTATTGGTTCCGGCTCTGCACTCTCCGGTAACAGAGCGCGGATACTGGCTCCGGCTCTGTACTCAGCGTCGGTATTGGCTCCGGCTCTGCACTCTCCTTTAACAGAGCGCGGATACTGGCTCCGCCTCTGCACTCTCCTCCAACAGAGCGCGGATACTGGCTACAGCTCTCCACTCTCTAACGATCGCACCTCGCCTATTCTGCGCACGTCTCCGTCCCCCCGCCCGCCGAGGGCGACGGCTCGTGCCACCTGAGCCGCGGGCCCTCTGGTGAGCTGCCGCCAGGGCGCCAGGCTCTGCAGCAGCAGGCGGCCGCCGCGCTCCGGCGCTAATTCGGTCGAGGCGGAGCGGGCTCGGGCGCTGGGGTATCTTCGCTCGCCACGTGCTCCCAACAACGAACTGATTTGTAGCCGCCGGGCTCGGCGCAGAGGCGGTGCCAGTGACGTTGTCGAGGGGGTTGATTGGTGGCCGCGGGGCTCGGCACAGAGGCGACGCCAGCGACGTTGTCGAGGGGGTTGACTGGTGGCCACCGGGGTCGGCACGGAGGCGGTGCCAGCGACATTGTCCAGGGGATTGATTGGTGGCCGCCGGGGTCGGCGCGGAGGCGGCGCCACTGAGGTAGTCCAGGGTGGCAGTGATTTTAGTTCCGATTCGCCTTCACCGGATCTGGAGGCGTTTTTGCGTGCTGGTGAGATCCACTTCAAACGCACTTTACTGCAGGCTCTAAGCGTTAAGCTATAAAGTTGTGTGTGCGCTATTGGTCTCGAGATGAGTATTATGTGCGACTGGTTCTCTTGTGTGATAATGTGGTCCTGCGTTACTTGGTTCAGTGGTAGTGGGAAATGTGCTCTGAAATGACTTGTGCATTATGAGTTCAGAGTTCTTCCGGTGAGTAATCGTCCCTAAATATGCCAGAAAGTACTGGTCAAACCGTTAAAACATGTTATAGTGCCGACATTGGTGATGCTGACAGTACTCAGTGTGTCAAGCTGTGTTTATAAGCCGTTGTTGGCAGTGTCGCGCAAGGTTAAACAAGCAATCCCACGTGACAATCGATGCTTAACAATTACACTTCCGGGTTCCGGTGGCATAATGCCGAAAAACTAAACCTGACGGCCTTTCTTTCTTATGTCAAGAATGATTTAGTGTACACCCTACTAATCTAGTTGCTTGTAACTGGAGCCGCATTTTTTTCGGGTCTGCCAAGGTTGGTAAGCGTCTGACACATCAGAAGTTCTCCGATGTCACAGCGACATCGAACGCTGCCCCAAATACACCTTTGTGAAGCGATGTAAAGCGAAAGACAACGGAGTCACGTACTGCCTGATGTGACGTCGTGGTGAAGATCTTACCTCATTTGACAGTAGTGCGTGGTATTGTAAATTACTGTCAGAAATTATCCGGCATGACAGCTTTGTCAAAGGTTTGGTGATGCGACCATAAGTTGTCCGATGCGACAGCGGCATCAAGTGTTTTCTTAAATGTTACGAAGAATGACGGCCCAGACCACAGGCCATTGTGGTCGGGAAGCAACCCACGTGGTATAGCAATTATCACCTGAACATGGCCTGCTAACGGCCTGCTTTGGTACTCCAGTCATCTTTTGACACCCAGCTAATACGGCCTTGTGACCCGACCAAAGCCTCGCGTTTCACAGCTACCCTGTGTGCCAATGGCAGTTCCAGATTTGATGTGATGCCGACCATGTGACCTTGGCGGGTAACCGGGTCGTCTGGTTTGCCGGCAGGTCGCGTCCAGCTGAGCCGATGCGGAACCTGACCGAACCGGAAGCGTGACCTGACCTGACCTGAGCTGAGCTGAGCTGACCTGCGGGCGGGTGATGCATGTTTACGGTTCTGACCGCCACTGGAGAACTCGCAGGAGCGAACCTTTATATCGACGCCATTCTGCACAATGTCACCAGCGTGCTGAAAAACGAGTGCGTTTGGGGACGCGGTTTTGCTATTAAATGGCAGCTGCCAAACCAGGGGATGGTGCCAGGCCGTCGTGCGCTATTCTCGTCTCTTGTGAAGGAGAGTTAGAAGGCTTTGTTTCACAGATCATCGATGCATTGAAAACACACCTGCTACGTTGTCAGTGCTGTGCTTTCCCACTACTTCTTCATAATACTTAACTTTAAACTTTGTCGAGCATTGCTTATTCTCACACAGGCTATAATTGCATTTGTCTGTGTATTCTGGATCTCTGTAATGCAAACTGACATTGATATCGTCGATTCTCAGTGGAGAGGAGTTCCTCTCAATTCCCGACCACTCGATTGGAAGCGTACATCTGCACCAGGGCCAGATCTCGGGGCTCGACACCTTGCGGCGAAAAGGTCAAGCTCGAATGCATAGCGACAGTGATGGCGCCACCATAGAGGCCAAGCTTGCGCTGGAGCAAGTCCGCCTCTGCTACGACTATTCCGCTAAGGTGAGCTGACGTCGGGGTACAGCTGTGGCATAAAAGCATGAAGAGTGTGGACAAGGCTATGGTAGATTTAAACAATACTGGTGCGTGTGCAACGTGATCTGAAATAGCCTCGTGCGGGGGGGGGCCAACAATTTTTGATGGAGATGGGGACTAATATCGGCCAGCGCAGTTACTTACTTTGAAATTCAAAATTTATCCGGGGACGAATCAAATCGTGCTTAAATAGGCACGTAGAATCTCGCATGGCTCAGCTCCGGGGTTTTTCCGAGCCCCGAACACATTCGAAGGAAGGATTGCCGTTCCCACGCTGTCGTCGTCATCACTGGGGCTTTACAGCGCCCTCAGCTGCTGTGGCTATACCACCTAGCATGCCTCTCACCGTGGCAGGAAGGGCGGTTACCGCGGGATATCCACAGCTCAGTCCATATCAGGCCTGGTGGTCTTTTGGAATATAGCCTGAATCGCATCAAACCTGTTGAGAAGACAGCTGTTTAAATATGTAACAATGCTGGGTTGAAAATGTGTTTTTTATTATCAAAACTCAGTTGAGGCACTAATCGTCATGCCTAGTCTCTGAGGTACGGTCGGCGATGGGTAAGGATAGTATTACATAATGCACTCTCATGAAAGGCACCTGTAGTCAAACTGTATCAAGGTGCGCTGTGAACTGAAAACATACGCAAAATTGCAGGTCTGCATCTAGTTGAGTTCCAAAGCTTTTGTTAAAAAAAACACACACACACGATGGTAGAAGCGGTGATAGCACGTGATGATGTTTGACGGATAACCAAGGTGCGGAAATAGCATTCGTACCTGGGGAATTAAGAATCCTGTATAGAAGCATATGCACTATGATTCAATCTTAGTTTTCACTTTTCCTTTCCCGAATTTTGTTATGTCCGTATGCTGCAGGCACGTGATGATCTCATCACTTCCTAATCCGGCCTTGAACTCCAAGCACGGAAAGCATTGAATGTGCTCGGCCAGTGTAAAGGAAATTATATCGTCGAACGGTCTCTTGGGAGTCCTAGGAACTATGTGCTGGCTTTGTAACTATGCAGTCGCGCCGATGTGAGGTAACTTCATCATGGTAAAAGTTGGAGATATGAGCCTGTTAGCCATAATCTGTATAAATAATATTTTTTTTGCCTGCAAAAGGGTTGCTAGGGTAGGGGACTGCCCACTCCCTATCTGACGTTGGGAACACGTCCCCCTCCCGTCCCCCGATGGCGCCGCACCTGGCCTCATGGTTAAAAGATCACAATCATCGCGCCCATCAGTAATGGTGTTTGTGCTGCGATGTTTTTGGCGCCGCATGAGCCCGAAACACTGCTGTCGACAGCAGAGCGGAAACATTGAAACGACGTCAACAACTGGTGACAAACACGAAGGCTTCTTGACAGGCAGACCCTGGGGCGGATCTAGCCTGGAGTTGTTGTTTTTTTTTGGGGGGGGGGGCAACCGTTCGTCGCCAGCTGGCTGGTTCAGGTTCCGAGGTTCAGTGCATGGTGCCTCTCGCGAGTACCTAGTAGGGACACCATTCAAAACCGAAAAAAAACACCGAAATGCTTTTGAATCTTAAACAGAAGTTAAGAGGAAACAGGTAAAACAGTTTATATTAAAACGGGCGGTAAGTAGACGAAACGTTTATGAAGTCCTGGGAATTTTTTTTTGGAGGGGGGGGGGCAAAACACACTTTCAGAGGTTTGGGGGGCCATGGCCCCGTGTCCCCCTCCCCCCCCACCCCCCAAGGATCCGCCTATGGGCAGACCCTGGGCTACTAGCATACGTTGCGGGAAGGAGAACAAACGTTTTCTTTGTCGATTTTTTCGCTTTGTTGAATTCTGCTCGGCCGCAAGATATTAATTACTGCAGATGAGAAGCAAGCATGGTGTGTGATCTGAACGGGCGTGATGGCTGGGTGGTTGGTGCCCTCGGATGTCACGTGATGGCTGGGTGGTTGGGCGTGATGGCTGGGTGGTTGGTGCCCTCGGATGTGACGTGGAAGCCTGGGCAGGTGTGGTAAAAGTGTTTTTTTTTTTTGTCACCAACCGAATTTCTAAGGACAAAATTGTCGCCAGCAGCGTTACGCAATACCATATGACAAAAACGGAAATGACGTCCATGCCCAGCAGAAATATCAGTGACTGGAGAACTTTCGGGGGGCCGGAATGGTCCCTGCATGGCTAGACAGACCCTGTGAGAGCAAGACTCATGCGAGACAAGAGAGGTACTAAGCTGGCTGGTAGCCTTGAGCATTTATTGAACTCCTGAGTTGTCCGGTGTGCCTCTGACCGGTCTGAGAATCTATCGAGCAGCCAGTAGGACTCTGGGGCGATGGAAGGACCGGGCCCTGAAATGTCAGTCAGAGAGTCTCTTGCGAACACCCTAAGGCGATGAAAACCTCTGTTTTTGGCCAGAGACCATCATCAACGAACCGTGGACTCCGTGTCGGTCTGAGTCCTGGGAGCCCATTTCCCAAGAAAGGACCAGACTGGGACCCGCGACTCGCATTGGTTGTGACCCCTGCAACAATGAGGCCCGTACGCCGGTCAGTTGCCCACAGTGCCTAACGGAGGGTTCTGTGTTGGTAAGGGTCTTTTGGAGTGCTTATGCTCTCTCCTATAATGCTGGCTTTAAGGAAATGTTCCGCCATTGAATATATTGAAGCAAGCATAAGATGTAATGAAATCTGCTAGCTTCGTGATGATGAAATCAGCTAAGTGTTGATATATTCTAAGGTGGAAAAGACTGCTCTAGATGACAACATTTTTCAATTTTGGTAAATATGCTGATCAATACGTCATTGTTTGGTTGCGTCACGGAGCGTTTGTGTGATGTTGAGGTGCTACTGAATCAGTCGTGGGAGACTGCCACACCAGCACTCACATGTAGTATTTTAGCTCGCCGAAAGATGGCAGTGGCAGTGTTCAAGTGTTAAGTGTGTGAAAGTGTTCGTTGAGCCAAATATCGTATAAGGCTAAACGTATACGGAGCACAAAACTCTCCTCGTGTTTTGTGGAGGGCCAAGAATAGTAAGACATTCTGAAATGTTGAAACGGAATCCGAGGGCTAGCTGGCATTTCCGAAATATTCGCTCCTCTTTTCCGATCACCATTTTGCGATTTGACAGTTGTGTGTTTTTCGTTTCTGAAAGGAGAAACTCCTTGGCTCCGCACTTTGTCTTCAGCACAATAGCCTGCTGCTTCGTTTCTCCTATGATAAATATTGACTAGGGTTCGCCTCCCCCTTACGAATATTTTGGCTGGGCTCTTGTTTCACCCGTTGGTCGAATGGGGGTGGGGGGGGGGGGGGGGGGTGGGAGGGGGAATGTTGGTGATGCCGCATTGTTGCAGAAGATTACCGCCTGAGCAGTCTGACTTCATGTGCCTTGCAAATATTGCGGCAGCTTTTCTGAAAATTTGTATGCTGATTAGTGCTGAAAATGACATTGCAATGTGATGCGTGTTTGCAAAGTTCCCCCATCAGAAGCGTGAATGGGTGAGCCGGGCCGAGCCAGGTCGCCGAAGCTACACATTTTCCGGTCATTTGACTCGAAGACTCACTGGCCGGCGGTCACACTCCCAACAACCGCCAACTCCTACATCTCCTATCGCTTCGCCCATCGCACGCCGCAGACGGCGCCTCACTTTATGTATATATTAATGTATGTAGCTGGTCGCCAATGGAGCATTGCTTCACTTAAGGTCAGCGTTAAACCGCATCATAGCGTGCAATGCCTCTTTAGCATAGAAGTGCGTGCAACAATATATGAGAGATGGTTATAAATATGAAATGTTCGGCATACTTCATTGCCTCAGATTTGAATGCTTGTCATGAAAACTCGACGAACAGCATGAAGCCGACACAGTGCGTGAAGGTGGTATACTTGCGCGTTGGAACAGCCCATGACAGTAGTGCCAGTGAATTATAGTGACTTGTTTGCCTGCTGAAAGCGTTTAACAGGAAGCCAAGCCGACAATAAATAGTATTTGCTGTGGGTTCTTGCAATCAGAATGTTGGCAGCGTATCTATCAATTGTAGTTTATGCATGAAGGGAGCAGACACAGCAGAAAAAACGTTACAAATTTATTTTCGAGACGCGGAGAAAACATAAACCGGTGACATGAATTCTCACACAACAATAAAAGCACAACAATGGTGAAAACACCATGTTTACATCGCGCCCTGGCTCACACACTGCGCCAGTACTTAGTGGTAATGAGCTTTGCACCGAAAAAAAGTGTTTCACAAGTGCACCGATGACATTTTTGAACGTTGTCTATGTGCGCTAATGTTCTGAACGCTGTCTGTGTGCACTAATGTTCTGAACGTTGTCTATGTGCACTAATGTTCTGAACGTTCGCACTTTGAGGCCAAGTCTTTACAGCTATGCTTGATAATTTAGAACAGCTGGCAGAAATGAAACCTTACCATCGGATTTCGGAGAAGACACCGTATCTGCTTAGAATGGCAAACACAAGTACTCGTATGTGTATGCGTGGAAGTTAATCAAAAATGACCGCAGAGTAAAAGCACGTTGAAGTTTTTCGGAGTGTCTGTGAATGTTCGTCTCTGGTCTCTTGCTTTGTTCCGGTGCTGGCACAGTGCCCTGTGAAGAAGGAGCGTGGCTTTTCTGGGCTGAGCGCGGAACCGTCTGGGAGCTGGCTAACCACCCCCTGTACGGGGCCAAGAAGTGCTTGTGCCACATCATTTTCCGCCACACAAACTGTTGAAGGATACCCAGCAGCTGTGTATTATCTAGCCGAAGAAAGGCTGCAAGTCGGAAGAGAAGCTTACACAAAATCTACGCCTGTCAGCCACCCAACTCATTCGGTGATTAAGCCTTCAAAGCCTGGCATTATCTTATGCTGTACGCTAAACGCACGGCCCACAAAGCTCACCGACCTACATGGGAGACGCGTTTGGCCTTGAACTGACTGCAGGGTACAATGCCACGCCCCTCGATTACCTAATAAGAAGCCCCTGAGGCCTGG